CTTAACAAAAGTTTTTTATTTGGATTTAATTCACAACTTTTAACTTACAAGTGACAAAATTTTTATCATTAGGATTTTATATGAAATGAGCTGCTTACCTATAAGGTTTATAAGCCAGTATTAGCCACTTATGCTTTATGCAAGTAAGTATTTATAAGTGACTATAAGTGACTTATAAGTCAAGAATTAACCCTTCATACTTTATCAAGTATTAGTATCTATAAGTCACTTATAATAAAGTACAACATACCTGTAAGATCTTAATTTAGAAAAACTTCCAACCATGAGGGGTTGATGAATTTCAAAGCTATTTTTTACATATACACATGATCTGCACTTTAGATGAAATAATCAAGTAAAAATTTTATGGAAAAAATCACTTTCATATGACTTTTTTAAATTCAAAATTAAAAAATGAAAATACCAAACAAAATATATTTACCATTCCAGGAAAGTTAAATAATAATATTAAATCCAGCATCTGAATATCTGTGTAATTTCTAGGGGGTTATAAAAAAAATAAAAATAAAAGGTTTAAATGTACACTTCTCATACATAACAACAGTCTTCAAATCAACAGAAATTGGTAAAAATAAAAGTCACATTCAGATACTTTGAGGTCTGTGAGAATTAATTTTTAAAGAGTTCATGCTATCAAAAAATATATTTTCAATAAAATTTTACTTGATTTGACTAATCTAGTTTAATAAAGGGGAAATTTTATCCATAGTCAGTGTCTACAGAAAAAGATACAATCCTGTTACTTTGTCATCCTGTAAACCACAGTCTATGTAATACTGGTTAAATTCTTTGGGAAAATCATTTTATCTATGTGCTTCTTAAATCCTCCATCCATCTCCGTTTGATTTTCTTTTTTCAGTAAAGAGAGGATATTCTGTTAGCCTTTGCATATAATCTGATAGTCTTTCACCATTCTGAGAGTAGACATAATATTTCCATAAGCCCTCACTAGAGAATCCTGAAAAATATTTTTAAAAAGTCTTAGTTGAAAAAAAAAAATTGTTATATAATATAAGCTTGATGGAATTCTAAATATAGACAAAAAGGGTATAAATACAAGTTGTAACATAAGATTTTGACTTTTTAAATTTTAACCAGGGGAAACCTCCAGTAAAAAATGAGAAAGGAATGAGTAAAATTCAGTTTGGAAAGAGAGTTTTTAGGGAAAATATAGACAGAGGTATACCAGTTAAAATAAAAAAAGATGGCACTATTGAGATCATTTCTCAACAAGAATATAATCAATTAAGTCCAGAGAAGGGGTGATTACATAGAAAGACCCTTGATTGCAGAAGAAGCCAATGAGGAATATAACCATTTATTACCAAAAGAGGGTAAGAATTACTTGGATTACCCTGAAAGACCTTTGACTAGAGAAGAAGTCAAGTTTATAGATGATAAGAGAAAACAGTTGTCAGAAAAAAAATGTTGTTAAAGACACATGAATTTTAGCCCACAAAACCATTGGAAAGAAAAAGGGATTAATGGGGGAATCCAAACTAATTCTTGGAGGACATTAAGGCTTATTATGAGAGAACTTTTCCAGTATTTGTTTATTACAAAATTATGATTCAATAAAAAAAAAAAAAAATTTTCACTTTCATTTGTTGTGCCTTAGACCATTTAAATTACCTTATGGTTAAGATTGTGATACACACTCTGATAATCATCTATGATGTCTCTATCATGTTTACCTCAAAAATTAATCAGGGTATTTGTGTTCAAAGAGCTAAAAAAACTATACAAAATTAAGATTTTGGAAGCATACATATTAATGGGTTTAAATGAGATATAACACTAGATTTTTAAAAAAGAAAGAACAAAAACTCATAGAAATGATATTGAAAGTACCTTTTATGTATAAAGTGTCATGCTCCAAGGTATATTTTTTATAACAGGAGAAGGTTTACAACAGTCCCATGCACTCATAAGAAAATCTTGGGTAGTAGAAACACCAGAGAATTTTAATTCCACACAATCAGATTATCTTACATCAGTTATAAGGTTACAGTCTTTATACATAGTTAAGAGGGTCATTAAGATTTCTTTTCTGATCATCCTGATGTGCTACATTATAGTATTCTTTTCCTGTGATATAATGTTAATATTAAATGGGAAATTCAGAATTCATCAGCAATTGGAGTCAAAACTTGCTATCTTTACCAACTATGATATTAAGGAAGCTGGGGGGGGGGGGGGGGGTACAAATTAGCCATATTTAACTTATTTTATAGATATGCTATCTTCAGCTGTTAACTATCATTTGGCAAAGAAAACTTTCATACATTTTAGTTTCAAAATTTGATCATGCATTTTTGTATATATATTGAAATGGAGCTCTTCTTCTTCTTCTAAAGGAGATCAATATAGTTTAAACATGACCATGACCACCAAGCCCTTTTTATTTAAATATATCATTTACATATCAATTCAATATTATAAACATGCATATGTAAAAAAAAAATAATAAAATAATAAATAAATATATATTACAATTGTATCTCATTGAAACTTTACCTTCAAGTTTGTGTGTTTCTATGTTGGTTGACTAACTGTGTATTTCCAAAGGAAGAGCAGACAGTCTGAACTTCATAGAGAATGGATTATAGATGGTTAGGAACAAAACATATCTTCCAGGTTGAGGACTGTATAGAAAATAAAACCATTTTGTTAATATGACAGAGTACTGTGTGAAACAATGCATGTTTAAATACAACATGTACAATGTCAAAAAAGTTCATGAAAATGTTTGTTTTTAATCTCAAAACAAATTGTTTTTAACATTAACTCCAGATGAGAAAAGTTCATCATGTTATCTTTATAACAAAAGAAGCACAGTTACTGTATTGATATCACAAATAAAATGATTATCATATTAATTATTTAGACACTAAAAGATTTTTTATTAACAGCAGATTCAATTTTGTTTAATATCTGTCAGTACTGCATACAGAAAAATACATCTTTTTTAGCATCATCACAGTACAACATGTAGTCCTTAATTTTTTGAAAAGCTCATTACCAAGAAACAAAAGTGAAAATGAAAATATATGTATACCATATATCACACATATTTAGAATCAAAACAAAAAGTAAATAACTTAGAATTAAATCTTTTGTAAATTCCTCCTTTTCTCTTATTAGATTCCTAATTAATATCTCTTTGATCACCATTTAGTAAGTCTGAATTCCATGGTCATGGGTAACATACATAATGAATTATGAAATTAAATCATATAATTTATACAAAAGGACTTATTAATATTCTGAAGATCCCTTAATCATGTGTTAATATATTTTAGACAAAATAAGACTGTGCTTATATGAATGTAAGTTAGAGACAACAGATCACATAAGTATTACACAGTAATTAAATTAACCATATAATCATGCTTAAATGCAAAGATGACCTTCATAGGAAAATGTAAACAAAATAAAGACAAACTTACCAGAGATATCCAAATATATGCCCAATAAGTCTATCCATTAAATAATCCAGTGAAATAACATCTCAGCTGATCCTAAAAAATCATACAATTCAGTGATACACAATTAACCTCATTTTACAATGTAAGTAAAGCAATAATTTACAGACAAAAGGGACAGAAATGTAAAAGATACCATGTATTTTATCAAAATTTAGAGAATATTTTTCTGATTGAAATTCAATCATAGAATGATCCATCATAGAAATATTAAATGCACTCTGAGTTACATGCAGGTTATACAACTATAAATCACATGAAATGAGGATAAATACAGCATTTACATTCAAAACAGAACTTTACATAATTATGCTTAAATGCAAAGATGACCTTCATATAGGAAATGTAAACAAAAATAAGACAAACTTACCAGAATTATCCAATTATATGCCCAATTAAATAATCCAGTGAAACAACATCTTAGCTGATCCTGAAAAAAAAAGCATACAATATTCAGTGGTACTCAATTTAACCTCATTTTACAAAGGAAGTAAAGCAACAATTGACAGACAAACAGGACAGAAAAACATGTTTAAATGTAATGCAAAATAATATCTCTTATATATGGATACCTATACTCTAATCAATCATATTAAATGTCATTCGTAAAATGTATTTTTTAAGACAGATTTATTTAGGATCGACTTTTTAAATGATAACATGAATAGCACGCCATACTTTAACCACATGTCAAAACATTCTCTCAAATTACACAGAAATGGGTTATTTAGCATAGCTGACATTAAACATATAGGTGAGCGATAACATAATCACAATCATAAACAATGTGAAACAACTTTAAACGACCTACACTGTGGATTACAAGCCTTTTTCACTGGGGTAAAATCCTGCCGAAAATTCGCCATGGCCGCCCGAAACCCGAACCCGACTGTATAAAAGATGAAGTCATACGGACCCGGACCACAATTAGCTTACATATAGACTTATATAGTAAAAACATGTGTTTTATTTTCTTTGCAACTTTTTAAAAAATCTTCATTTCCAAAATATCTTTGACCACATGATAGAGCAACGTGTCAGATAAATATTCACATCCAGAAATAGGGTGTTGAATGTGGAATTCCCCTGGTTATTAATAAACTTCTGACGTCATGACCTCAGGATAGCTCTCGCCTGGCACAAAAAGTGTAAACAAACCAAATGAATGCTCTTTTCAATTCATATTTCTAGGCACAATTTTTGCTTGAAATGCACCTTGCTGCATATCATTGTAAACTTTAGACACTCTACTTTTATTCTATACCCCAAAAGTATCTAAAACATGTGAGCTATTTTTATTTTTATCATTGAAAGGGAGGCATATGAATTTCCTACATGTGCTACGTTTTAGCCATTTGACCTTCACCCTTTAATTGTGGCCCGGATCCTATATGGAGGCATAAAATTCATTTAAAAAATTTAAGGCCATATTTGAAATCCTTAGATACTACTTAACTAATATACCAAGTTTGATTGAAATTGGTTGATATCTACATGTAAAATTACATATTTTGTATACTAAGGCAATACAGGAAAGAAAATGGCAAAAAATGGCAAGTATGAAATTTTAAAATTGAAATATATAAAAACTGTCAGACAATAAAAGGAACTAATTATTACAAGTAAGTTGTTGATACCTCTTAAACACACACACACTCTTAAATATGTAAAATACAAGATCTTTAGATTTCTAGGTAATTTGATGATCTGTACCCTGTATTTTCATAAAATTTTCTTAAATTAAGAAATGTAAAATCTATCATGAAAATCTGAGAGTGACAATAGGGGTAAACATTTAATGTACATTTATTCATAAATCAAATGATGTATCACATTACTGATAAAGTGTACATAACATTCAAAATAAACAGATTTTTAGCCCACCCCCATATCCTTTTTCCTGACTGTGAAGAGGGGCCATGTGCAGCTGATTGGTTAGAAGTCTTTGTATAGGTAATCTTAATACCCTATGGAGTCTGTTTTGACAGGTGATTGTCAAAGGAATATATTGCAGTAAATACCACTAAAATGTGTCCAAACAAACATTGTCATAATTCAATCTTACTTTCTAATCCACTCTTCACTACACATGAAAACAATGAAAGGTGACCGTAAAAGAAGAAAAAATCTTAATTTTGGGTTTAAAATAGGGAACACTCGTTATATTAAGGCTCATCAGGCTACGTCAAATGCCGCAGGAGCTTCAAGTTCAGTGTCAAACATCCAGGGATCCCCAGAGACTGAGACAGCACATCCCCTTGCTGAAGGCCAGGAAAACATCTCAAGGACACCGATCCCTCGTCCCAGACCTGAGCCATGCCAGGAGCTAAAAAATGAAGAGACGTCTTATGAGTTTGAGGGAAACCGCATTGTTGACATAACATTGGTCTTGGAAATGTTTAATGATGCAGCCAAATGCCACTTTGACCAGGCCAAGCACTGTAATTTTCCAGTGTGGGAATACTCAGGACAGAGGAAATGGGGGTTTGGATGGCAGAAAAGACTACTGTGTACGGTATGTAATTTTCAGACAAATTATTATAAATTATACACTGAAATTCCTACCTTTAACAAACCAGGCCCTAATCCTGCCAGTATCAACTGGAACTTTCAGTTAGCCCTGCAGAACACCTCCATGGGGAATCGACGCAGTCGGGAAATTGTAGCTGCCTTGGACATTCCACCTCCTAATCGCAGTTCCATGCAAAGGGCCAGCAACCAGGTCAACACAGCCACTCTAGCCCTGAATAAAAAAGACATGGGTGAGAAGAGACAACTGGTTAAGGCCATCAACCAGGTCAAAGGTCAAGAACATCCAGAGGAACTGGACATTGCCATAGATGGACGCTACAACTCCATAACCTTCGGTAGCAGCAAAAAGCCAGGCTACAATGCATCACAAGCTTACGCCATTGCATGCGAGACCAACACCAACAAACAGTATATTATTGGCGCATCAACATGATCAATGCAGAACAAACTTTGCTGGACTGGAACATGGCTTCGAGGTAATGGTTATGTAGCTGCAATAATGTAGCCCTCTCCGATTTTTTTTTTGGGAGAGGGCTACAACTCCTTGGGATCTCTATAATGGCGCAGATGCGGCAGTGGATCACTCCCGCACGGATTTCGGCTCAAATTATCAGTAAACGGCTATTTTATTATCATCTCTTACCTGGAATCCAAATATGTAATTATGCAAAACATAAATCGATCCAAAAATATTCACAACGATCCATATATCGGTTATTTTTCATGTGTGTCAACAGCTTAACTTGAATTTATCCGCCATGTTTACTGACCTTGATGGATTGTATTTTGGGACAGCCAATGAGAATTTAGGTTCTATAGGAGCAGGATCTACTAGGAATTCCCTTATTTTAAGCATACGTATCGCTGTTTGCGCAAAAATAAAACTTGAAATGGTTTCATTTATCGATGTTTTTGTAATAAATTATAGCACAATCGTTTATAAACATCGACATTTGCTTTATTTGGTTGTTCCAAATTTCAAGCGAAAGTCTCACTACATCACGCGTGAACTGTCATGGCTGCTGAATATTGCAGCTGGGAAAGACACAGATTTATTTTACATGGTTTTTGAGTTTAACAGGCTATGTTGTTGACAGTGAATAAAAATTCCGTCTTATAAGAAGTAAGTTTAATGTAAAAATAATTTATTTTGCCTCCAATCACCAAAAAAATATATTTGCACCATCAGGAGATGCGAATGAATTGTAGCCCTCTCCAGAAAATATCAAATAAAAAAATCGGAGAGGGCTATATACATTATTGCAGCTAATGGTTATGATGTTCATTGTCCGGGGGGTCATGAAGACTGCACAGCTAATATTGAAATGTTCTCACCTCTTTCAGAGTACGAGATGGCTAAATCCATAGGCGAAGATCTGGCAGCAGACGGGTTCAGGTGAAGCACGCCACAACAGACGGTGATGCCCGGTCAGCCCAGGGATTCCAAGATGCCATGCGAATTTTTCATCCAGACTGGCAAGTCACTCGACTGGCCGACCCAACCCATGTCAGCAGAGCCCAGTTCCGGCAGTGTCGCAGTGCCCACTTCAGCCCCGAGATGTTTCCCTGCAAAACAAGAATGAGGTTAGACCAGATGAGAAAAGTTTTTGCACAAGATGTAAAGGCCCGGTGCAGCTTAGTCTATAAGAAACTCATGGATACCTACACATCATCTGTAGTAAACTTCCTCTTGATAGAAAGTTGCATCCTCTGCTACTCAGGAGACTGTTCAAAATGTTGAAGGAATTCAGTGGTGTGTGAAGGTGGAGACAGACACAACTGGTGGAATCAGTCTTATATCCTCGCCCCGAACAAACTGACATCCCTGCACCTGAATGAAAATGACAAGCACTTGTTAAAAGTCATTCTTGAGATGCGACTTAGCCAAAGTGCCATTGAGGAAATGAAACTCAACACGTCAACTCAGAAATGTGAGGGTCTTAACAGAGCAGTCAGCGAAGTATTGCCTAAGCACACCAACTATTCAAGAAATGCTGAAGGAATCCTCTCAGCTGAGATTTTAAGACAAAACAACAGTCCGGGACTAGCAACATCAATGAAAGCAGCAGAAATTACATTGCCACTGTCCGGCCACACACATCAGTACCTAAAAAGCATTGACCAGGAATATGCCTATCGCAGAGAATACAGAAAGAGAAAAGCAGTTAAAAGGCGAGAAATGCAGAGAAAAGCTACACTAATGAAACAACATGCGGCGGCTGAAAAGGAAAGACCAAACCCGGGATAACTACAACAAAGGGCAAATTAATGCAAACCCACCAGCCTACAGTCCAAGGGTGGCAATCCAGAGGATCACCCCTACTACCAGACATGAGTTGCCAAGACAAAGACAAAACGGCCCTTCTGGGGCCAACCAAATTATCGAAAAGATACCTACTATACAAAGTCGTATAAGAAACGTGTAAAATTAACACCAGGCCACAACCCAAAACTTCCACATAAATACATAAGACACATCATACACATACGCACACATGTACGTACATACATACATACATACATACATACATCCATACATACTTACTTACTGATCAATGTTTTTGTCAAAAACTACAAACTATACCCCCCCCCCCCACCTTCCTTGAAATGACAAACCCATCAACCCCCATTTCTATTTTAGTGAAAAGTACATATTTTTACACAACATAATATAATTTCCACTCACCTGAAATTATAAACTCCAATACACAACCTCTGCCTGCATGCGCAATTATGAGTCGGGCAAAGCCTGAATCCCACTTCCACGTGTTCTCCTGCAAAATAAATCCATGCACATGTTATTGTAAATATATTGGCCCAATCACCACCTTCTTATTGCGCCTTATTTTGGGTGGGGGGAATCAATGGATAGCTTGTCTGTCATTTCCAATAAACACCTCGTCTTTCATCTATGACTTCAAAGGGACCCCTTATTAAGAATACACATGCAAATACACATTACAAAACAGTTTTTCTATTTTTAAAAAGGAACTATCTTCATTCTGGGATGCATAATTTAATATTTTTTTCAATCACTCAAAAAATTTTAATTTAAAAAAAAATTAATTTTAAAATGCTTAAATTTTTTTTAAAAAAATTTATGAAACTATTTCAAAATGTATAACTCACCTCCTGTCAAAATCATAGGGGCTTGTCTTCCGGATTGATAAATGTAAAATAATTTTTCAAAAATTTTTATCTACATTAAATACACTCTAAAAATTGCTTTAATAAAGATTCTGACATGATCAGGCAAGAAAAAAATGTTTTTAAAAAAAGTACTACACCTATATACATAGTTAGAATAATCCAACTGTGTCTCGGTACAGGCCCTCACCACAGTTAGAAT